GGGCCGCCAGCACCGCAGGCTTGCTGGAACCATCGACGTGGTTGAGCTGTTGCTGCTGCTGCTGCTGCTGCTGTTGCTGCTGCTGCTGCGCAGCGGCTGCCGCTGCCGCTGCCGCCGCCTCCTTAGCCGACAGGGCCACCGTCTTGACCCCGACGGGCGGCGGCGGCCCGGGGGAGCGGCCGTCCTGAAAGCAGCCGTGCGCCCGCTTCAGCTGGCGAGCGGTCTCGATCACGAACTCGATGCGATCGGCGCCCTCGTAGTTGACGCAACCGCGGCATACGGGTTCCGAGAAGTCCCATATCATGGCCCATGGCATGCGGGGCAGGTCGCACAGGTAGCAAGATTGTCTCCGGGACGAGGACACCTGCGCCGCCGACATGATGCCGGCCCTGGGGAAGGTAGGCCCCCTCCCGGGCAGTCTCTGCGGCGCCTTCTTCTCCGGGAGGGCTGGCCGGCTGGGGAGGGAGTCCGGCTGCGGGGGAGGGGGGGGCGAGAAAGTTCTGCCCCAGGGGCTGGAGGGAGCGCGAGTCTCCACCGCCGGCGCAGCGCCTCTCCGCGGGGGCTCCACCGCCCGGGCGGCGGACGAGTTCAGCCTGCTTCTCGCCCCCACCTCCTACTGCGGCTGTCTCGTCGCGAGGGTAGCTCAGGCGCCTTCTTCCTGGTGTCGCGGACACGGGCTGGAAGTCCGGGCCCGGGGGGAGGGGGCGAGGGTGCCGGGTGCTGGCCGTTGGCTCTTGGCCCCCTCCCCGGAGTGGCTGGTGCGTGGAAGCTCGAGAGGGGCTGTCTCTTCCTCTTCCCCGGGGGCGGGTGGGGGCCCTACGACCTGCGTCCTCTCCCCGCCAGGCTCCCTGGGGCGAAGGCTAGAGGGTTCAGTGCCACCCGGTGCCCGGGTCCAATCTTGCTGAAGTCGCTGCTTCCCCGGAAGGCTGGGGGAGGGGTTGGCAGCCGAGAGAGGAGCTTCTCCCCTCCGCAGCGTCTGCCGTTCCGCTGGCGGCGGCTGGGTTTGCACGGCCGGAGGGAGCCGCCGCGGCCACTGCTTCCAGTACGCACGAGAGCAGAGGAGAGGAGCGCACGCACGCAGG